AAAGTGGCAATCGACGTTAAAAGAAAGAGAACACACACAGGGGTTTTGTTGCTGCTGTTTTTGCGTGGTCACAGGAGCCGAGTTCCTTCCGCGTCCCCCGACACATCACTGCCTCGAAGCAGACCTGGGCTGAGGCTCATGCCCGGGTGACCTTGGCACATCTTGAAAAGGCTGTGGAAGTTTAAACATAAAAGGCAAAGCCCCGGCTGGGTGGTTCAAAACTGTCCCCCACACAAAAGGTCTGCGGGTTCAGTCTGGTTGGGGAGTGGGTATGTGGGAGGCTGTGCAGGAGGCCGGTGATCCATGTTTCTCTCCCTCCCCCTTTCACCCTCTCTAAAATAGTGAATGTATCTCAGGTGAGGATTTAAAAACAAAAATAAATTAATTAATTAAATTAAAAACACTGAAGGCAAGGCAATTTGAACCAATTTTTAAAAAAGATTTTATTTATTTATTTTTAGAGAGGGAAGGGAGGGAGATAGAGAGAGAGAGAGAAACATCAATGTGCGGTTGCTGAGGGTCATGGCCTGCAACCCAGGCATGTACCCTGACTGGGAATCGAACCTGTGACACCTTGGTTTGCAGCCCACACTCAATCCACTGAGCCACGCCAGCCAGGGTTTGAACCAATTTTTTAAACGTCCTAACACTTAAAAGATATGTGCCAATCAATTACCTGAAAATAAAACTCGTATCTGTGGAGCACTTCTTTCTACAACATCAGGTGTACGTGCTGTAATAATGCAGGTCTACCCCAGTAAACTGTACACACACACACACACACGCACACACGTGTGTGTCAAGAGAAGGAATAACTAACAATTTAGTTAGTCAAACAAGTCCTCAGGGAGGAGGTGACACTGGAGCCAGAGCTGAAAGAAGAAAGAGAAGTCTGTTAGGCACAAGAGCAGGATGGGAAGAGAGCGCGCTACACGGAAAACCATGAACCAGTACAGACCTTGTTCATGTTTCGGTGACCTTGGCACATCTTTAAAAGGCCGTGGCAGTCTAAACACAGAAGGCAAAACCATTTGCCTGAAATTTTTTTCAAGCATTATTTCAAATATTTCACCAAGGTCAGTGTGTGCCAGGCCCCGGGAATCCACAGATTCCGTGCCCCCCAGATGTGAAAATCTAGTGGGCAAAAGACATAAAAACGTGACTGTAACACCTAATGGTATCACAGGACAGTAGCTGAGATAGCAGAGTATGAAGGGAATTCAGCCTGCTGGCCACAGGAGCTCAGGGGCGATTAGAAAAGGTTTCCTGAAGAAGGGAGAATTTAGTTTAACTCTGTAAAGGGAGAGAAGGAATGAGGCTGAGCACAGGGTATACGGCAGGGCAAGGACAAAAGGTCAGGGGCCCACAGGAGCCACACCAGGCAGTCTGGGACTTACCACACAGATGAGGAGCTGGGAGAGTTTTTTAAACAACAGGGTGACTTGATATTTGCTGCTGAGTAAGATGACTCAGGTGGCAGCATGGCAGATGTGCTCGAGAAAGGAGATATTGGCAGGGAGAACACGGAGCTCACTCACACGAAGTATGATGATATAGACCTAAAACAAGGCTCAAATGACAGGAGTTCACTAATGAACAAAGGATTTCTCGAAGAAAGACGAGATACGGGAGATAAATTTACAAACATTAAGCTGAAGCATCTACGAGTTCTTCAGGTGGCTTCATCCAGAAGGCAGTTGGAAGTACAGATCCTAAGTGAGTTTTCTAACTCAGCTAAGACCACGGGTACACCATGAAGCTAAGCAGCTGTAGAAGAGAAGGGAGTGGATAAGTTTACTGTCTTGTGCACGTGGATCAGCCAAGTGACAGTCACCAACAGGCAGACAAACATACAAGTCTGGACTGAAGATGGAAATCTGGGATTTGCCGGTGTAGAGGGGGGCAGCCGCTAAGGCCGACAACGCACAGGAAGGAGATCTCCCAGGGAGACCGCAAATCAACAGAATGCCTAGGAAATGATAAAGCTAACATTACCCTTACACTTACTATGGCCCATTTAACCCTCACAACCACGTATGCAGTAGACAGGTACTATTATCCCATTCTACAGGTGGTTAAGCAATTTTCCCAGTATTGTAAGACAGTTAAGGAACAATAAAAAAAGCAAGGCTAGGAAAGATTAGAGGAGGACCAGGAGCGAGCAATGTTCAAAATCAAGTTAAACAATTCAAGGGGTAACCCATGGCCAATATCATGGAAAATATAAGTAGGACAAAAAAATGGAGAAAATGAAAAGGAGGGTAGCACATGGGACATTTCACAATTTGGGGACATTAATAGCTACAATTCACTTTAGTTCTACAATTAGTTTCAGGAAGGGCAAAGAAATATATTGAATTGGGTTGCAAAATGAGTTGAGGAAGTGAAAACACTAATCATGAGACCAGGCTTGCAAGGGGTTTAGCAATAAACCACGTAGGCATTAATGTTTCCGAAGCCAGTAACACTGTGCTGGACACCAGGGCAAGTACATCACACTTAACGTTTCCTTTTTAAAAGATGCAAAAGATTCGGAAATGCTACAAAGCTTGCTCAAAGTCACATGCCCAGTAAGCGACAGAGGAAAATTTATACCCAAGATGACATAAGGCTAGCTAGGTAAGCACTTTAAAATATAACACACTGATTAAACAATTATTTCTTAAGAATCCAATCTGTGTATTGATTTTGTAATGTTCGGTGTAATGATGGCATGTGTAATGTTAGTGTTTTGTAATGATAGCATCTAATTTGGCTTCTGGAGGTATTAATAATCTACGGTTGATTCCATCTAATGCGTTCTTCATTTTAGTTATCGGATTCTTCATTCCTGACTGGTTCCTTTTTTAAAAAAATTTAATTAAAAAAGAAAGTTAAACAAAATTCAACTGAATTAATCTAAAGATCTAATTGTCTTTATTAAGCAACTCATGAATGGGGCAGCATCCCATCTAGCAAACAAAAAGTTTTCATAGGCTGACAGAGGGTAGGACTAAGAAGTTAAAAGTAGATTATTTCAGGCAAGGATACCTTCCCGTAGGGAAAGGCAGGTCTTATCAGTAAGGTTAATTAAGATTCTTTCTCTGGGAGAGACTGAAATTGCAAGTAGATGAGGTATTAAATCTAGGTTTGGGGTCATGGGCCTGCGATTTTCTGTTTAACAAAGCAAAACAAAGAGAATTGACTTGAGAAACAAAGTGTAGCTTGCCTACAGTGTTCCTATTAACAAAGCTTTCAAAAGAACCTATAAATCTGTAAAATAAATATTGAATGCTTACTCTCAGTGAAAAACTTTGCTGTATCACTCCCGGGTTCAGGGGAGAGAAGACAGAAATAAATGCAGATAAATTTACAATCCAAAACAAAATTTCTCCCTCTTCCTTCTAAACATAGGTGTGCCCCAATACAATCCCACAATATTTACACATCAAAGAATGAGGTCATTAAGTCAATTAGCAAAACTAAAGCACAAAGACCGTTCTCTTACAGCACTTATCCTACCTGATAAATTCCAAAAATAAATCCATTAAAACCTTTTTCCATTTCCTTCCCAAAGGAAATAGGCACTCTTCCCTAGGCAATGTTTCCAGTTCAAAAGTTCCTTCCTCTGTGGTCCAACTCATTCATTCTTTCCTTGTGCCAGGTGCTGGACAAGACTGGAGAACTGAGACAGAAATAGATGGTCTAGCCCAGCTTTCCTGAAATTTACATGCCAGCACCCAAACAAAGCCTTTAGAGGCTTAGGTAACTAATGCAGCTTGTTACAATGGATGATTAACTGCTGCTAAGGACAACAGAGTGCTGGGACATTTTCAGGTGATAAACAGAGGAACCATATAGGAATTGGAAAAAGGGAGAGAATAGTGCCTAAGGGGTGGAGGAAACCCTTAAAGACCAGGAGATAGGGAAAAGAAAAATGTTTTCTTAGAACAAAAATAAAACTAGTGTGGATTGAGCCCAGAGGGCCAGGAGGAAAGTGGCCCAAAGTCAACTGGAGCTAGGAAGAGTGGCAGCAGTGATTTGGTCTTCATCCTAAGAGAAACGTGAAATCTTAGTGAGTTCTACGTGTGGGATGCATCAAGACACGTGTGTTCTTAAGTGACTATTTTTTAAATTAAATGATTAGTCTTCTGAATGCCTCAGAGTGCCTTCCAAAATCCATTCTCATGCCTACACAACACGCAAGCTTCTCAAACAAGTCACTCATCCATACTGTCCAACTTAAAGCAAGAGGGGAAAATGCTTCAACTTGAATTCTATGTCAAGGGAAAGCCAAGTACTCAAAAAAACAAACAAACAAACAAACAAACAAAAAAACCCCAGCAGTTTAAATAGATGGCAGCCACTTAAATATTAACTGACCAATGAACTTAATCTATGCAGAGAGACTATAGAGCTTATACTTGTTTCTCCTTTACAAATAACTTCTAAATAGGTATGTCACTTAAACTGCTTGGCTATTAACATTTAAGAAGGACACACACTTAATTACATCCTAATATTTAAGGCTAAATTATGAGCTTGATTAAAGGCTTTGGCGCCCAGGCAAGACGACTTGAATGTCTTGAAGTACCATGTCCCTCTTCGCACGTTTTTTTTTCTCCCTAAATCAATTAGAATCTGACTTTCTGAGTGCATTCTTTTGTTTCGCTTTTTAAGGAATGGAACGTCTTCTAATTCATAACTTTCTTTACTATCGGCTTGAGGGACGCCACAGCACGTGTGACACACCAAACCTACCTCCAACCAAGGTTTAAAAGGCTGCCAGTCACCCGGGGGCCCGATGGCAACTTTCCCGCCTTCTCCATCCCCCAAACTCCCCAGGGCTGGAGGATGCTCCCCTCCCCGGGCTCCCGGCGGCCTCCTCCGCCCCCCGGCCCAGGGCAAGGCCGAGGCCGCCGGGCTGGAGTTGCTGCCACCACCTCTATCCCCCTCCTCTCCGGCCCGGGTGCGTGGATCCAGACGGGAAGTGAGGGGGGCGTCGGGAGAACGGGCATTACCTGGAGCCCAGCAGCGGGGACCTCAGCCAGGCGGGCAGGGCCGCGAAGCCGTCACAGCGCTGGGGGCAGGAAGGTCAGCTGCTGGCAACTCTCCAGGTGTCGAAGCCCGCACTGCAGCCAGCCCCGCCGCAAACGCAGATAAAGCGCCGGACTCTCTACCCCTCCGCCCCCAGCCTCGCGGCCCGTTACGCAGCGTCACGCGCACAGTCCGCGCCCGCTCCGGATTTCATTGGTGGGCCCCGCGGCGGCCAGGCCCCGCCCACCGCCCCCGGCAGCCCCGCCCCTCCCCGGGCGCGAGGGTACAACTACTTGCAGGAACCCCCTGCTGGCCCTGCTCGCGGTGCGAGGGAAACTTGCTGGGCCCGAGCAGGTCGTGACACCGGCGACTGGCTTTCCGTTTCTGCCCCAGCGATCCAAAGTGCGGCAGATACAGGACGGAGACAACTTCCTGCAAGTCCGTAACGGCACCCCGCATAGTAGCACGGGACCCCGCATAGTAGCACGGGACCGGAGAGACTAGTGCCTCTCCGAAAGCTCAGCGGAAGCTGCTTCTGCAACAGGATCGTTACAATTCCGACCGACCCTCTAGGGACAAAATAGAAGCGCTAGTCAGAAGCCTTTGTCATGGAATGCTTCTTTGTGAACTGTACTCGATCGTGTGTCCTTCAGCACGCGCGCACTAGATTGAGACAGTAAGATCCTTGAAATAATGGGGCAATTAAGTAATTAAAAAAGGGCTTAATCAAAGAAAAATAATGATGCAGAGAGATGTAGGACACAGATTAGCTAGAACAGTTAATCGCTTAGATTTTACGAAGGCAGAGGTGTGGGAGAGTTTAGAGGAATGGAGGGCGCCAAGGGAAGGAGGGCAGCAGGCACTGAAGGGCGAAGCTTGCCAGCCAGTGCAAGCTAGCCTAGCCTGGCTAGTCACTCGGACCCGACTCCAGATTGAGATGGCCGCCTATGACCGGGTCAGGCTGCTGTTGTAACGAGGAGGATGGACAAGTACTTGGCCACCCAGAGCAGGCAGCACTGCTCACTCCAAGGCAGAAGCCGGTATCTGCCTTGGGTCGAATTCAGTACTGGCAGTACCGGCAACTCACCCACTTTGCCTCTTGTACAACTGTGGTTGCTGCTTCTGCCAACTGGAGGACAGTAGGGTCTGGTAGATCCCAATGGCTTTTGTGCTTTACCTCCCTCCCTCTCCCCCTCCCCCGCCCCCATCATTAGCTGGGACTATTTCCCTTAACACAGGGGCTCAGGGACTGTTTCCCTTAAGGCTGTGCTGGCCACCTGACATATACACTGAGAAGATTTTTGGTTTTTCCTTTGTTTCATTTATCCATTCAAAAAATATTGATTGTGTTTTGGTGGTGGTGCTAGGGGTACAGCAGTGAATAAAACAGAAGAAGCCCCTGTACTTAGAAGTTTATGTTTCTAGTGGAAAAAAATAAGTAATGAAACAAGTAAATGAACCCTGGCTGGTGTGGCTCGGTGGATTGATTGCCAGCCTGTGGACCAAAAGGTCATCGGTCCAGTTCCCAGTCAGGGCACATGCCTGGGTTGCAGCAGGGTCCCTGACTGGAGGTATGTGAGAGGCAACCAGTCAATGTATCACTCACACATCAATGTTTCCCTCCCTCCCTTCCTGTCTCTCTAAATAAGTAAAATCTTTTAAAAAATAATAAAATAAAAAGAAACAAGTAAAATGAGATACTTGAAGATGGTAACAAATGTTGAGAAAAAACCAAAACTGTATCAGGGAGGGACTTTCTGAGAAAGTGATCTGAGCTAAGACTTAAATGGAGCCGACTCTGCCGACTGTGCCAACTATGGAAAGAAGAGCATTCTAGACCAGTGATTTTTAACCTTTTTCATCTCATGGCACACACAACTTAATTACTAAAGTTCTGCAGCACATCAAAAATACATATATCTTTTTCCGATCTGACAAAAAATAGGTCTCATTTTGATTCATTCCCACCAGACAGCTATTGTTATGTTGGCTGTTGTCAATTTTTTTTTCTTTGACAGTCTAAGGGAAAAGAGGTCAGTGCCCCTGACTGAGTGGTCAAGTATTGCATGTTTCAAAGAATTCCTGAGCACATGGGTTGAAAAGTGCTGCTCCAGACAGCGGAGAATGAACGAGAAGGTGCTGATGCTGAGCAAGTCCGGCTCACGTGAGGAACAGAAGGCTGGAAGCACCGTGCAGAGGGTAGGAGGCTGAGGTTGGACAGTTAGGCGAGAGCTTGGTCGTGTTAGATTTTTTAAAAAAGTTTTCTCTTGTCTTGTGTTTTTAAATCAACCTATTTTGTAGGGAATGACTTGGAAGAGAACAGAAATGGAACGGGGAGAAGCCAGAGGACAATGGGAAGGTCCTGGACAAATTCCTGGGATAGATGACGGTAAGCTGGATTAGCGTGGTTGCTATGGAAATCGAAGTTGAAAAACTTCTAAGTATTTCCTGAGGTGAAGCTGTGACGAAAAGTAGTGAACAAGGTGACACCCAGGGTAGTTTCTCTTAAGTGAATGGGAGGATGGCAATGCCATTTACTTCAAGGGGAAAGACCACTTAATATGATTGGAGGGACCATGAGAGCCTCTGCCTTTGCTAAGCCTCTCCTGTCACTGTCCTAAAAATCCTTGGGATCAAGTCTGTTAAATTTGAATGTTGGCTTCATCGTATCCCAAAAAACACATGTACAGAACTTGTACTAGATGCTAGGGATATAAACATGAATAAGAACAACTGTTTATTGGAGAGTTAGATAATTAAGCCCTTTAAAGACAGTGAGTGTCATAATTAAAAAAAGGTAATCCTGGCTGGCGTAACTCAATGGATTGAGCGCGGGCTGGGAACCAAAGTGTCCCAGGTTCGATTCCCAGTCAGGGCACATGCCTGGGTTGCAGGCCATAACCCCCAGCAACCGCACATTGATGTTTCTCTCTCTCTCTCTGTCTCCCTCCCTTCCCTCTCTAAAAATAAATAAATAAAATCTTTAAAAAAAGGTAATAATATACTCTGGTTTCTCTGCAGATTGTATAAATCTTTTGAAGAAAAAAGAAGTAGTAAAATTGCCTACCTAGCAGTCATTGTAAGGATTCAATGAGTTAATGCCTACAAATCTCCAAGTACAGACCCGGTTATATAGAAGCGCTCAATAAATATTCATTTGTTTTACACTTTTTGCCACTGAAGTTCATCATTCTTATTGATGTTATTACCTTCTGGACACAGTGGGGGCAGAAGGAACGGTTGTCGCAGCCTGCATTCCAGGAGAGGAAACACTGAAATGGAGCGAGGCTGACCCCCGCTTTCTGAGCCAGGAGGAGGAGGACTTCAGTTGGCAAGGCAAGGGAGGAAGGACATTCCAAGCAAAGGAAAAACAAGGTCAAAAGCCAACAAGACAAGAGGGAGCCAGCCCATGTAGGAGACAGGAAGATAGATGAGCATTGCTGAAGTGTAGAGTACTTGCTGAGACGTGAAAAGACACGAGTTTGGGGTCAGAACTTAAGCAGTTTGTAGGCCGTGCTAACCGATCCTGACGCAGACTTCCACAGACAGTGGGGAGCCAGTGACGGTGGGCAAGCAGGAAGGAGATGTAGGCGACTGTCCTGGAGGGAGATGCAGCTGGAGGTGCAGAGATCAACCAGAAGGACGTGACCGTAGTAAAGGTGACAAAGGATAAAGGCCTAAAGTAGGTCACTAGCAAGTGGGATGGAAAGAAGGGGGCATACCTGGGAGAAATTTGAAGAGACGATTGATAGAATTAGACAGTTTTTGGGTGTGGCATTTAAGGATGTACCCAGGATTTCTGGCTTAGCGGGCTGGGTGTGTGGGATTAACACCAACTGAGGTAAGAAAATGCACTTGAAGCAAGAAAATGAGTTAAGGAGTAGGGATAAGCTTTACCTGGGTTAATATTTAAGCTAAACTGGTCCACTTCCTACTGAGACCTAAAGGAACTGAACAAGGAACAACCAAGTATTGTTTTTGTTTTATAATAAAACAGCTTTCCCATTTTTTCTGATTACGAAAATAGTGCCTACTTATCGCAGAAAATAAAATCAAATACAGAAAAGCCCAAAGATAAATGCCATCTAATGCCCTACCATATGGAGATGCAACTACACGTTGACGAGGGGAAAGGACAGTGGCCTGAGCCTGGGGACTGAGCCCTTTCGCCAGAAGGCCTGGGTTCTGCAGGGAGCCAGGAAAGGCAACCGAACAGGAACCAAACAAACCAGGTTGTTTTTCTTTAAATCCTCACCAGCAGATACGCTCAATGATTTTATGGAGAGAAGGAGAGAGAGAGAGAAACATCAGTCGGCCACTTACATCACCCACCCAGAAAGATCGGGGACTAAACCCACCGCCCTTTAGGTGTAGAGAACAACATCCCAACCAACTGAGCCACCTGGCCAGGGCCCAAACCAGATGTTAAAACACAAACATCTCAGTTCTCCAAAGGTTCCCATCTGTGTTAATGATATCAATCAAGCAATAAGTTTTTATTGCATCCTCAGTATGGGTAATTTCTCCATTGACCCTCAGGCTTCAAGAAAACATAGACTCCTTTAGAGTTAAGATTTGGGGACTAAGATAAGGACAATGAAGCAAGGGTGTGAACCAGGACAACCTTATTAGGTAAGTCCCTGAAAACTCGTGGAGAGGTGAAACCCTGTCTTGTTTGAGCATTCTGGAAGCACCCAGCACAACATGTGTAAGCCACCTGGATAAATGCACTGGATGAATGTAATGAAGCCAACTCAGGTGTAAGTCCCTAGATCGTGGGCGGATCCCAAACAAAATGGAAATCAGACCTCATTCCTTCTCTTGTTGATTCGGTTACCTCACATGCTATGTCATCACTTGTTTTTCTATAAACAGAATTCTCTTTTTTAAAAAAGATTTTATTTATTTACTTTCAGAGAGAGGGGAAGAGAGGGAGAAAGAGAGGGAGAGAAACATCTATCGGTTGCCTCTCACACCCATCCCTCTCTGGGGACCTGGCTCATAACCCAGGCAGGTGCCCCAACCGGGAATCAAACCCATGACCCTTGGGTTTGTAGGCTGACGCTCAGTCCACTGAGCCACACCAGCCAGGGCCTGAATTCTTTACATACAAGGCAGAGAGCTGTTCACCCAGTTAAGAAGGCTGCCCATTTGACTCCACAGATTCTCTCTAGCTCTACATAGC